GCCCACAATCCGGCCGGAGCTAGGAATTCTGGGACCTTCTTTAAAGCACGATTAAGAAATTGCTGTGGGCCCCGCACTTGCTTTAAAAACATGCAAATATCAATGCAATGCACCGGCAGAATGCAGTGACTACAGCAACACTGGAGCTGAGGCCGTTTCTGCAGTTTTCTCTGATCCGAAGCCGTCTGTCAAAGGACAGATACGAGTCTCAGAGATCTGTACTGCGTTTCACCTTCGCTCCACAGATTTGCATAAACTTGGTGTCGTTCTCCAATATTTGGCAATATACATAAAACAGACAAGAATGCTAAAGAAATGAAAATACTAGAAATTCAGTAGTTTTGACACATGATGTGTATGCACACTCCTCGGAGAGGAGCCGTGATGGACGGGCCCGCAGCAGGACACCGGCATGGACGGCCCACAATCCGGCCGGAGCTAGGAATTCTGGGACCTTCTTTAAAGCACGATTAAGAAATTGCTGTGGGCCCCTAGGAACCTCTGGGCCCCTTCTGACCTCTGGGTCCAGCAGCAGAGCTACGGCCCTCGGCGGGATGGCTGGGGTGTCCGGACACAATCTGGCCCCCAGCCACAACTCTGTCAACATATATCAACCAGCATACTAGTTCTGACAGCATGCAATGCAAAACTTTAGTTGTTTATGAGCGCAGGAATCCAGTTATAAAGCCCCGTATCCTCTGATCACAGCTTATGCTTACAGTCACACCAGACTGACTCCCATCTGATTTATACACAAACCAGCGTGTTAGATAAGAAACAAACAGCATTTGATCTTGGATTAAAGATTTAAATGTAACACACGACCACGGAGAACACAGAAGGTATATGTGATGAAAACGAGCTGTTTTACAGACAATGAGGACCGCCGCTCCTCTGACGTCACCAGAACACCGGCCCCCGCGCTCGCTGTCGGTCACGTACTTAAACACGGTGCAATGCAGGACAGTGGTTTTCCGTGTCCAGCTTTATTTGGTTTCGGTGTAGGGTCCGAGCCATCGCCCCGCCGGATCACAGATCCCGTTATACGACGCTGATTGTGGTGCCCGATTCATGAGCGACTCGTTCTTATGAACAGAATCATTTAAAAGACTCGGTCGAATCGATTCGCGAAGCGTTTGTAGAACAACGGACTGTACGATTTTGTATTAGTCAGGGTAAAACTGAGATTGGAACAATATTATTATATTCGACAGTAATACAGTTAAGAAATAGCATTATTTTTACCGGCTGTTAATTATTATTGATGTCAAGTTATTAATAATAAAGTTTAATACAATATTTGACGCAGCTATAACTTCTAATAATTTACAAAAAGCACTGAACAACAATTTTATGCAATTTTAAAATTCAATACCAAAATGGTTTGGTAACAACATTTGACGCAGCTATATAACCTAATAATAAACAATCAATGTTAAACAACAATTTTATGACAGAAAAGAAACTTTGGAACGCTTTAGAGTGATGACTCGGTTGTGAATCAGTTCATTGAAACGAACCGTCCGAACGAACCGATTGGCTAAAATGACTCAGATTCTCTGGCGCTGAAGACGTGGTTGACTCTCCCAAATCCCGGGTATGATGCGCATGCGCACAACGATCAGATTAGTGCTTGGCAAAGACATCTTCAATTAAAGTCCGTAAAATTAAATGTTCTTACTGGGATGTTACAGAAGATGAATGCATTAAAATATTTATGGCTAATTGTAAGCAGGGCATACTCAACAATTAAATAACTATTGGTAGGTTTTCACAGAACACACACAAATGCATCACAGTTTTTGAGAAAAGCCACTGCAAAATAAATAATTTCAATCCTGGTGAGACTGACATTAGTGGCTTTTTAGAAAATAGTAAATAGAAGAATTATCTCACACACACACACACACACACACACACACACACACACACTCTTCCTGTTTTTTTATTATTTTTTTAAT